CTGGGGAGACCTAGACGTAGATGGGAGGATACTCTCAGGCGGGATCTATGGGAGATAGGAGTTGAAGGAGACTGGATTTTGTTGGCCCAGGACAGGGTCCGGTGGAGGGCTTTGGTTAATTCGGTGATGAACCTTCGGGTTCCCTAAGTCATCTACTTAGTTATTTATTGTTATTTATCACACTAAAGCAACAACCAAACCATTTAATACACGCAACAAAATCACACTAATTATTCAAAATGTATACTTGGCATTCACGTATTTGTCAGAACACAGCAGAAGTCACTGATGAAATTTATTAATGGTCTCAGAATGATTCCGTATGTACTAAATAGCCTTTGTTTAGTACACTAACCTTCTATCATCAGAACGTCCTAAAGATAGATATAGCAAGCAGTCACATCTGAAACGTCTGTTAAGTTTCTACCAGGCTACACGACTAAACATCCTATCGTAATCTGAGAACCATCTTCTTGTTCATTCTCGTTTGACAAAACTTCCTATAAGTTTGGAAAGGACGTACCAGAACATCTTCGATACCCTTAAATATGTAAAACAAGACACCCATAAAGTGTACAGAAATTTGACGTAGCTTCTGTACTTAAATGGGAACTTTTAGTATCAACGTTATTTCAAATGCTTCACGTTACTAAGTAGTGCGAATGAAATATATTGAATCAATTTTGAAATTACACTTCCGTCGAAGGTTTGAGAATAGTCAGGGACAAGCTGGCTGTTGTTAATGACGACCCAGTCTGTCTGCCCCATTTCTCCCTTACAATAGCAACAAAGGATGTGCCATTTAGGAGCTCCTGTTGACATGAATTTTCTTTTATCCTTTAAAAACTGAAGAAAAATAATCATCATTTATTTTCCGTAACTCTAACCTCTGATTTCTCTCCAATTGCAAAGACTTCCATTCTGGTATTTCCAAATAAACCCCTTTCAACGCTCCTCCATCTTTTTTTTCTTCAATTGCCATTAACAGAAGTTAGGATACGAGGTGGGAGGAGAGAGAGATTTTTACAGTAGAATTCAAGCGCTTGAGACTTTCTTCTGTTGAAGATCGCCCATCTATTGTCTCGCATTTTTCCTTCCCACAGCATCCGCCAGACGTCTGTCAACTGTTTTGCAACTATTACAGAGATCGTCCTTTGTCTTGCAGTCTTTCTAATGCCTTTAATAGTTTCCATATAAAACTGTCTAATCGGAATTTTCTTTTATTTAACTTCCTTAAGATTAGATGCGTCCTCGTAATATTCTGAACCCATCACGTGCGCCACGTAGTTTGACGTGTCGCGCGCTAAGTGATTATTTCGTAATGCATTCTTTCTCTTGTTACGTAAGTAATCATTTTTCGTTCAGGTTTCATTCTTAAAATAAAATGTACTCAAAAATATTATTTCTTATACCTTGAAACCCTTACTCCTAAAAAAAGAATTCCTCAACGCCTCACTTACATATGTTTGAGATTAAAAATATTCTACGTGCATTTTGAAATAAAGTTGACAAATTAACAGGGCACTTTCAGTTCTTCAAAGACGCTTGAATGTTACAACACTGCATATTATTTTTTTCCATAACTTACCCCCAGCTGCATTGTCGGTCCCATTCACTGCCCGAGATATACAGGGTGTCCTAGAAAGAGTGAACACATTTTAAACATTTTTATTGAGAGAATAAACAGAGATAGGAAGGTACAGTTTTCACCACATGAAAGTGCAACCCAGAAAGTGTTTTTCGCGACAAGTCACACGGATATTACCAGCATGAGCGCTCCGTATTTTGACTTGGAATTGAAATGTACAGAGAAAAATATCATTTGTTGTAAGTACGAAGTCCTATAACTACGTTGTGGACAAACAAACATCGTAAGATAAGATAGGTTATTATTAATATTCTTTTGCGTGTATTTCCGGATTAGGAAACTGTCTCTACGGTCTCAAAATCCTCTTTTCTGAGTTTCCTTTATCTCCATCCTATTTCTCGCAGAGTTGGTTCATAATTCCACGTCGTACATCGTATCTGCAGTCTTTCAAGTCTTTATAAAAAATAATCCCTTCAGTTGTAACTGAACCCATACAAAATACAAAATATCGACATCAGAAGACCAAATAAAGCAAAGAGTATAAAACGTGAGAGTGTACAGGCATGCGCCCACGTGAAAACATGGCCCTGTACAGTGAGTTTCAAAATACTGAACAACTGGCTAAAAGAGAATAATAATATATGAATTTATTTTAAGGCATGTTCAATAGTATTTAACTTTGAAAGTAAGCCTTAATGTGAAAATTAATTTTTATCAAAGTTTTCATGCAAAGGACAAAACAATTTAAGTTTCTGACAGATAACTCCAAGATAAAGTTGAAGTTATATCTAGTACTTATTAAGCTCCAAGCCATAAAGGTGTTAGGGGTCGTGGAGGAACATCTCCAATTTTTTTTACTAGACTAGAGTGGTGAGGTTCAAGCCCTGGTTGCTTTATCTCGAAGAAGGGGCCCCCGGTATCCATTACCAAGGAGTTTCAGTGATTCGAGAAAAATCTTCTGCCCCCGTCAGGGATCGAACACCGGTCGTCCAGTCTGTAGTCAGTCACTACCGAGAATGAATAAGAGCTCTTCTCTCCCCGTAAGCGCCTTCGAGGTTTTCGACGAAACTAGTTTCACAATTTCTTATCTGTCCCCTGCATTCTACACGCCATGTCCGTCTTAGCATGAGATATTCGATCACACTGATAAATTTTGATGAACATTACAAATTATGAAAATCTTCGTTAAAAGATTATCTACATTTTCCTTTAATCTCTGTCTGTGAAATAAAAATGCAGTCACGCTGTGTGAATCTGTCGGTAGATGGCTCTGCCAACAGAATCGAATATGGTAGCTATGAACACACGTTAATCGTAAATCAGTGATGGTATTTACCAGAAAACAGTGACATATTAATGGTATTGAGGCCTGTAATTTTCTGAAACCCTGTTATAAGGGAAACAGCCTTTTGAACGTGTGGCTATTTCAAATTAAACTCACACCAGTGGGATACTCACGGACGCGAACAAGTTGTTGGACGAGCTGAAAAAACTATGTCAGATGAAACTGAGATTTTAATTCAAATATATAATATAATTCAAGTCTATACACAAACTTTAAATTGTTGATGTTAAAATTTAAAATTAATATTGATATTTTGCGCTATTCATCGTTATTACGATGTTACAGTATTGCGCTTTATAAATAATAACGATGAATAGCGCAAAATATCAATATTAATTTTAAATTTTAACATCAACAATTTAAAGTTTGTGTATAGACTTGAATTATATTATATATTTGAATTTTAAAACACAAACATGACGCATTTAAAATATAAACTTAATGAGATTTTAATAATTAATGTGGAATCTGTGGAAACATGACAAAATATCCTCCCTCCCCTCAATGGGGTTGGGGGGCGAAGACACAGGGGCAGAACGCATTGTACTTTACTATTTACGTTTATAGTTAGGAGATGGAAAGAGAGTGATTCTGATATACTGCTTAGTAGAAAGATTAACTTAAATCTTAACTTGTGTTTTATTTATCTTAAAAATTATCACAAATGTTTTACTTTCGATCTGAAACATGTAAACGTTTACGGAAGCCAATTTATCAGCAGCGAAGTTATTATACGTATATTTCAGGTCGAAAGACAGAGAAAATATGAAATATACAATCGGTATCCGAGTCATGCAATTTCCTCTGGCATCTTACAGACCTTAGCATTCTGTTGAGGGCCGAATGAACCTAGCTCTCTCTTCTGAACGGATTTATGGATCATGTTAATCTCTTATTAATAACCGGAGCCTATTTGAATCCCGTTTTTACCTTGCTTTCAATGTCACTAAATGACATGAACGCAAGTTAAAATTTTATTTCGTTATATCTGTGATACACAGAAGAAGGCAATGGCAAACCACTTCTGGATCATCTGCCAAGAATGTATATGAACAGGTCCCAGTCCGAGAACCGGCGGGGCCCGAATTTTTAACTTGTGTTGGGCAAGGCCGTGGTTTAGGCAACACGGAGTTTTCCTCCGTTGCATCCCAACAATTACTCCATTCACACACAGAAGAAGGCAGTGGCAAACCACTTCTGGATCATCTGCCAAGAACGTATATGAACAGGTCCCAGTCCGAGAAAAGGATGGAAGGATCCTGTTCATATGGACCTGTCGTCAGACAGAACACTAAATAATAATAATAATAATAATAATAATAATAATAATAATATCTGTAATACTGTTTCATTTGTTAGCCAGAAATTGACTGTTAACAGCTTAATGTACCTTCAAACAGACAACCCTAGCTTTATGTTTACACAGTAAAATTTGCAAAGAAACATCGGATAAACAGGCCCAAAGTTTTTATAGAAATTTCTTCTCAGGTACAAAATTTTAAATAAACTAAAGTTTGTGAGATGATAAAGTTGCGTCATATTGTGATAAATATATATTTGTTTAAATCTTGTCAGTCTAATCACAATAAAATTTCTATTAAATATTAAAATATTACTATAATTAACACTTAAATATTTAAAATATATTAAATGATGTTTTCTATCTAAATGTTCGATTTACAATTAGAACATCACTTTTTTACACGACATGTTTCAGTTCTAAAAGAACCATCTTCAAGGTGTATAAAATTATATAAACTAAAGTTTATTAATTTATATTCAGTAGAGAAGCAGCTGTCATTTAAAACTATCAAACCCGTTGCGTTGTCGACATATTTAGATAATATGATAACGAAATTAAATGTAGTTGATGGGCTAACATTCTAGTCTCGTGTGAAAAAAGCCCTTAAGATTGAAACACAGTCAAGCTGGTTTTATTTTAGTGATTACAAGATTCAATATACTAATGAGTATTATTATTATTATTATTATTTGTGGTGACAGTAATACTATTAGCAGTAATAGTAGAATTAGGTTATTTTTGAGAGTGATTTATTACTCAGTTATAGATTACGTCAATACACACGTAGGCGTTCAGTAAATTTGATCAATCTCTAGTGTAATATTTATTTCATATGACTTTTTAGTTAAGAATCCATCGTCCTGATGATGGTCTCAGCAAGGACCTCTGAAACGTTAGTAAACTTTTTTTTTAAACTTTGTCTCCGAAAACGTTAAACAACACATTCATCCAGCACTCAATCAAAAATGTACTGTTTATCGATGTTATTCATTTATTTATTCTAAATTTCGGGTTAAAATCTAATACGTACATTGCACGCTACATGTGCGTTGAACCTCGTGACCCTTCTATAAGCTTCGGTGCAATTTTAAACCCTATTCTGGGTTCCAGTAACATCGTCATCGGAACTTATTAGGACCGAGCCATTACCTACTGCAATGTAGCGACCCCTCCCTCGTCACACAGAACGTGTTAGCCGGCTTTCGCCGTAATAAATCCGCTGTTAAACAATTCACGAATCCGATCGAGAGGCAGAGAAAGGCCTGTAACGTGTTCCCGGTCGAGGGTAAAAATTTGTTCTGGTACAGGATGGAAACGCGTGTCTCAGTCCGAGGGTGTCTGAGGGCAAAACATTTGAACAGCTGAACAACTATCAGCTTCTGAATAAGTCGATTTTGCGTACTGAGTTAATTGGAGTTAGACATAAACTCTATTTTGGACAAAACTTTCAGGAACTAAATGAATTTTCCTTGTGAATGATTTGAGGTTTTCAAGACAGTGAGTCTGAAAACGGCTGTAGCCTGCGTCAAGCACCTCTGAAACGTCGGTAAACGCGTACCGAGATGACAGCCATCTTTTTAAAATTTTCCTTGTATTTGTTTTAAATTCTAGACTGCGTTCTGTTGTAGCCGGTGAATTTTCGCAAAATATTTGGAGGTTAAGTTGTCGTATCAGTCATTAATTAAGCCTGATTCAAACGGCCACATTTCTGTATGAGAACTCAACAAAATTTACGATGCGATAATCCAGCGGAGGAAATCTTCAACTACAGACTAAAATATCAAATCTAAAACTTCTTGACGATGGTGAAGAGTCAATTGAATAAAAATTTCCTTGGATATTATCCATCGTCTAGTAAATATAAAACGTAAAACGACGTTTCGGAGATGGGACTCTATTCCGTCTTCAGGTTCCTACACAGTAGGGCCCACTAGATAGAGCTAATCCCTATCTCCGGACCTTTCTTGGATATTATCCATCGTCTAGTAAATATAAAACGTAAAACGACGTTTCGGAGATGGGACTCTATTCCGTCTTCAGGTTCCTACACAGTAGGGCCCACTAGATAGAGCTAATCCCTATCTCCGGACCTTTCTTGGATATTATCCATCGTCTAGTAAATATAAAACGTAAAACGACGTTTCGGAGATGGGACTCTATTCCGTCTTCAGGTTCCTACACAGTAGGGCCCACTAGATAGAGCTAATCCCTATCTCCGGACCTTTCTTGGATATTATCCATCGTCTAGTAAATATAAAACGTAAAACGACGTTTCGGAGATGGGACTCTATTCCGTCTTCAGGTTCCTACACAGTAGGGCCCACTAGATAGAGCTAATCCCACGTCACATAACTACCCGAGGGTCTAAAATCATATCGAAAATCACAGGACTTAAATCCGAT